ATAATTGATTAAAAATAGATTTATGGTACCCATATCAGGGTTTTCTAAATGAATTGAGCTGGTTTTTTCTTTTCTTTTGTTTTTTCCTTTTCAAATTCTTAGTACTTTATAATGTTGGCTGTATAAAGATTGATGATGGACTTTGCACGAAAATATAAATTAGGTTGCATTCAAATAATTTCATGAATATAACTTATATTGCAATAAAACAATTATTTCGTTTTATTCAAATAATTTCATAAATATAACTTATATTGCATTGTTTTGTTTTGGAGTTGTTGGAGATTATCTGTTCTGTTTATTTTTGTTTGTAATTGCTGATTATTATACTAGATTCCAAATAAGAACACAAATTGTAATATTGAATTAGTAATTAGTCTTAATATTTTGACTGATGTAGGTGAAATATTTTACAGTCACTGCTTTGATGTTTTGTTCCTATTCACGATTTTATGAAATATTTTTTAGGTTTTTTAAATTGATTTTATATTTTTTGTTTATTGCTGCAGGTTGCGTTAGATATTGAATACCATCATAATTTGTTAGTCTCCCACCAAAAAGTGAACCCAAAAGAAGTCATTGTTGGATGGTGATTCTCAACCCCCTACGGTCCTACCTATTTTTGTTATTTTGCTAAGGAAAGATAAATGAGGTAATTGTTTATGTCCAAGTAGTTTTAGGTGTCATGAAAAAATGAAACCATTCGTATTAAAAGTATCTTTTCAAGGCAAAATCAACCAACTGAAGATGTGGAAAAAGATTCCCGAAATAGTGGTTGCTGGAAATTATTTTCTCAAGTAGGGTCCTTTCTACAATACGCCGGAGAAGACGCCAGAATCACAGGGCCTCTCCAAGGAAGATGCCCGAATTACAGGGTGTCTTCTACACTGCTTGAGATTGAAAGATGCCGTGTTGGCCGGGCCTTTCGAGAAGACGCCATGTTGTCCGGCCATCTTCCAGAAACACGGTAGATTTTTCTCTAGTTGAGAGAATAAAGAGAATAAAAAATTGATGGCAACACTGAATATTTTTTCGCCAGTGCCCTATCTGGGCATTTTTGCTGTATCTTCAATATGTTTTCCCTCATTGCCAATTGCCCACCGAATGCGAGTTTGTATATATCTCTAATAATTCCAACTAGGCCATTAATTTGTCCAACTTTTTCCAGGTATTCTACTGGTCTTGGAGTTACAGGCCGTAGTGCGTTGATCCATGATTTTTATTCTAGGGAAGTTCCTAACCCTGTTCATCTGACAGTGGATACAGGATTTAGGAATGGAGAGGGTACTATAAAGGCCTATGTTTCTGTCAATTTAGCTCTTGGAGACAGACAACTTGCTTCTCAATTTCAAGAAATTCCTCTTAATCTACGCATGGTTGAGGCTGAGCTACTTGGATGTATGTGTCATTTGAACTGTCTTTCGATGCTAACTTGTTTCTGCTATGAATTTATGAAATTGTCTACGCTCTCTGTACCTCTGTTTGTGTGCATAAACAAATGTCAAAGAATAGGAATGTTTATTGTTTGTTACTTTGCAGATATATCCTGCATGAGTTTTTGTTCTTTCTTTATCCTCGACTGCATGTGAAACCTTGATGTTACTTAATTTAATTGAATAACTTTGTTGTAAAATCAGTTGACATCCTGAAGACAACATCGGTTGATAAACTGCCAACTGATTTGGAAGGAATGGAAGTCACAATGCAGAGACTTTTGGCTTTAATAGATGATATCTACAAATATGTTGATGATGTTGTGGTACGTAAGTTAGCTCCATTATATTTATTTTGGTCACAAGTCCCAACTGCTGCCTTTAATAATTTTGATTTCCATTCTCAGGAAGGGCGTGTTGCAGCAGATAATAGCATCGGCAGATTTATATCAGATACGGTAGCAGCTTTACCTAAACTATCGCCTCCAGCTTTTGATAAGCTTGTTAATGATAGTCTTCAGGTATATGATTAATTTCTAAATATCATAACAACTGTGGCTTGGTTAAATCTCCCAACTTTTATGGTTTTAGCTGGGATCCTATTATTGAAACGTTTGGTGATATCATTTATGGAACTAACTCTCGAGGATTGTGTCGTGCAGGATCAGTTGCTGTTATTATATTTGTCGAGCATTACTAGGACACAACTTGCACTTGCAGAAAAGTTGAACACAGCTGCTCAGATCCTCTGATTTTGGTCTGATCCGATACATTCCCCTTTTGTAGGTTAACTGTACTGTGTTGATTGCCACAATTCTTCACAGCATATTTAGTTCTTCTCGTGTAACTATTTACTCTTGAAGTAACTATTTACTCTTGAATGAAATCTCTTTAATATGTTTTTTTATTTATTTTCCTTTCAGAATTATTAATTTTTCTTTTCTGTTTAATCTTGCCGTATATATATATATATATATATATATTACATGATATGACAATCAGACGGGTTCAATTTGAAAACTGAAAGCATGGAAGCGTTTCAGAAACTGGTTCAATCAAAGGTTTTTTTTTTTTTGGCCACTGGCTTGATGAGTCAAATTCTGAGTGCAAACATTTTCAATCTTTCGTCATTTCATTGAAAGAAGTGTAAGAATATGTACGAAATGATGGAATATTAGTTGATTTTCTATGAGAAAAAAATCATTTCAATTAACTTGAGAACTTATTCTTTCCTTAAATTCAAGAGATGGAATTCCCTGTAAAATTTCAAAGGATTATGATTTCTTCATGAAATTTACAAATTTGTTAAACCTCGTACTAACTAAACATTACGTTTAACTTTAAATATAATTGAATTGATCGAGGTTAAGTTGGATTCACTCCCCGAAGTTTAAGGACTCGCGCGATCTACGTGTTTCATGCATATACTTTTTTACATAATCATCCAATTACATTAAAATCTCATTTGAAACAATTAAAAGATGTAAAAATATATATTTCTAAAGGAAAAAAAAGGGTTCAAATCATATTTGATTTAGTTAATGGTTTGAATTTTCCGACATAATAACCGATGCTTAATTTTGATTTGATCAATGGTTCAAATTGTTCCTCATGCTCGATTCAATAGTTATAAATTCAAATGTTATTTGAATCAAACTTGAATAAGTTATAACATAAATATGGGGTAAGAAAACCATCCCCAAACACCCTTTGTTAGTACTGTCTTCAGTAGGAACCAGAAATCAACATTCCTGCTATTAACATCCCAAGTTTATGATAAGTAAAGCATTAGGAAAAGAGAGGCATTAAAGATAAGCCTGGCAAGGAAGGAAAGAAGGGATAAGCATAACAGGTCTCGTAGTAGTTTATATGTATACATACACTATCAATAAGTTGAAGGTGACAAACAAGTTTGGATGACATAGTCAATAAAGGTGCTCATCGAGAAGCCAATCAAGTTGTTAAGTGCTTGACTCGTACTCGTTCAAAATTTTTACTGCTCAACTCATTGATCATTAAACTTATTAAATTTTACTCAACTCATGCTCAATAAAAAAACTTGTTGCTCAACTTAACTCGTTGATTGTTAAATTCACTAGAAATTTTATCTTTTTAACTATAGGTAAAATCTAATAATACTATATAGAACTTATTATAAACATTTTAAACAAAAAAATTATCAAAACAATGAATGAAGTAATTTCAAAATTTACTCTCTAAAATAACAATCCACAAATACACTAAACTAATATATTAAAACTAAAATAACAATCCACAAATACATCAAACTAACATATTAAAAAATTCTTCGAAAAAGAAAAAAAGATTCAACGATACATAATCAACCCTAAAAATAAGAAAATCAACATCTCTTCACTTCATCCATTGTTGCTTGCATTCACCAAACTTCTAAAAATTTATATAAAAAAAAATCAACGAACTGCTCGCAAACTTATCGAGTCGAATCAGACATTACTTAACTCATTAAAGTCTCAAGTCAAGCTCGAGTCATGCGTTAATCGAGTTTTGATCGAGTCAAGTTTGAACAACTCACGAGCTGCTCAACTCATTAAACACTCCCTAATAGTCAACAACTCGTTTCTCTAGGGCACCATACTGCGACCACCAATCATTCAAAGATTTTAACAAGCATGGAAATATCGTGCCATCCTTAACATCCCGGAATTAATCCCGAATGATTTTCCCCCAAAACTTACACCTGTAATCTTCTTCAACAAGATAGTATATCATAAAACACAAAAAGTTCACCCTTTTTTCTCTTCCTGCATGCTAAACTTAGTTTCATGGAGGATCCACAGGACAGCAGGACACCACACATAACTATCATCCCTACTACAAGAACTTCTTCACTACATCGCTGAACAGCAAAAGGAATCTCAAATACCATTACTAGGCGTTAAATACTTGGAGCAAAAGGGCTTGCACACTCTGGATTCGGCTTGCAAATTCTACGCAGCACACACAAGGATAAATAATGCTTTAATAAACAAACAATAGAATCTGGAAGAGCACACACAGCAAGTTATATATAGGCCATATATAGCAGCCAAAGGGGAAAAAAACCTTCACAAAGCATTCAGTATACTAGGATTAGATAAAGCAAGCATTCTATTTCTACGGTAATCTTGAGCATCAAAATCACAAAATCAAAGTCACGTTCTACGGTAATCTTAGAGCATCAAAGGCATACAAGTTAGATAAAGCAAGCATTTCCGAACCACCCTAGCTGAAAATGATTTAAACCAGTGTTAATCCAAAGTTCAATTACCTTCCATCACATTCAGCAAAACAGAAGAAAGCATTCAGTGAAAACAGAAAGGGAAAAAACTGAATGAAAAACTAGCAATTTATTATCGTAGCAGAAGACACTAGCACATAACAAACATCAAGAGTTATTCCTAACCCACTCCTTATCGGATCATTTTAAACGACCCAGACATGAAAAACACAAACCGATCATCAGAAGATCACAGATTATTTACATAATATATATATATTATATAAATCATCGTCATCGTTATCATATTCATCGCAATTCAAAACCAATCAATAATCCGGATGACGATAATCACTATAATCATCCCTCCCCCTTGATGACACGTCGTGCTCCACTCTTTGACCAATCTTTTCTTCTTCGAATCTCACTCCTCCTTCTAACGTCAGGCCACCTAAAGACGCCGCAGCCGCTCCAACAGCTAATCCAGTCCCGAGCCTAGAGACTCCTCTAGGTCTATAATCATTCGGAGAGTAATCTAACGGAGCTGATGGACCGCCGTAGCTGTAAGATCGCTCCAAGAAAGGACGCGGAGGCATAGGCGGCAGCGGAGATGGATAGTAGTGGCTGGAGAAATTAGGAGGATAAGCATCCGCGATGGAGGAGTACGGCGGCGTTTGCGGAAGAGACACGTAGGGCGAAGCAGGGTATCTTGGCGGATGGGGTGGTGGAGGGGTATTTGTGTAATAATAGCTGGAAGGGGCATAATGGTAATCAGGCGGTGGAGGAAGGGGACGTTCGCGGATCCCGAGTTTCACCCGAATCTTGCCTTGCGGACGACCCGAGGGTCGGAGGAGAGAAAAGGTCCGAATCTTCAAACGGTCATCCGGTTTGGATAATTCTTTGAGTTCGAGCCGGAGAGTGCCGACTAACGGCTTCGGGGTTTCCGATGGCTCGGAGTGGAAAATCTCGAGGGTTAAAACGGTGTCTTGGAGAGAGACGGTAAGAGGAAGGGTGAACCGCTCGTTCCATACCGGTTGGGTTGATCCGGAATCATCCGAGCGGGTAGACAGACGGCGGTCTGGATCGACCCAAAAGACAGCGTAGGGTTTGAGATCGCCGTTTCGCCAGTTGACGTTTTTTAGATGCTTGGCGGAGACAACGGTGAGATTGAGATCTAGTGCTGACGCTGGAGGCGGTCGATAGGAAGCGGCCATGGAGGTTTGCGACAGTTCGCGGTTGATAATATGCTAACATTCGCCGGATAAAAAGGGATTTTCCTTTAATTTCTTTTTTTAGAACTTTGAGAGTGGGGAACTGAGTGGAGATGATTTGCTTGGCAAGGGAGGTGGAGAAAAGCAAGGAAAATGAAATGACGGCTTTAGCCTCCGTGACGTGTGTGTCTGGCTCTGGGATTTTAAATTGGCGAAATATGATTGGTTCATTAAGGTCAAAAGTCAATTGCTTTATATATCTTTTCTTTTGGATTGGTCTGACCCGGAAAGCATAAACTCTGTGGGGCAACCAAAATTTGTGTTTTTTGAAGATCCCAACAGCCCAATATCATATCTGATCCATTTTCCATAATCAAAACGACAGTGGGGGCATAATTTTAAGAATTTAATTTTATTATATACTAATACAAAAAAATTTATATTTATAAAAAATATTAAATAAAAGATGATAAATAAAATGTTTAAATGTCCGAAACATGATACTTTTTTTTTATAAAAAAAGAAAAGAAAAATATTCTAGTTCTTTTCTAATTAAATTGATATCTTATATTGTAAGAAAAAATTGCTTCATGCAACTGTCACAAGCAACTCTTGGAAACGACACCCTAGTCTGACGTTGTGTTCACTTCGAAATCATAGTAGAAGTTAGGGGTCGAGAATCCTGTTGGAAATTGATCTGCAAACTCGAAATCCCTCCGCGCATTAGACTTTGACTAGTTTGCGCGTAAGTTTATTAATTAATAAAGAGTGTGTTGGTCGTCCACATTTATAATTTGGGGGAAGAAGACATTGATCATGTACTTCGACATTGCCCAAAGGTTCGATCTTGGCTGATTAAAAGGGATAAACTCTTGGAATTTGTGTATTGTCGGTACCATTGATGGATTGGTTGCCGAACAACTTGCGGAAGCAAAGAAGCTTTATGGTGCAAGAATCGTATGATTTTATTTCCCATTATATGTTGGAATTTTTGGAAACAACGTAAGTTTCTTATTTTTGACGGAAATTATTTTAAACTTGATGATATAATTAGTCGAAGCTTGAGATTGCTGCAGGGAACTATAGTTTCTCGTGAAATCATACAACCAACTATGAACTCATCATTGAAACTCTCTAAATGGAAGCTGTCATCGGAAGGATGGATCAAGGTAAATGCAGTTGATTCCGTTCGTTGTCAAGACTTGACGACTGTTGCAGGGGCCAAGGGCTTTACGATGCGAGCAAGGAAGGTGGATATTTAGATTTGTTAAGAGTCTTGGAAATTGCTTTGTTTTGTCAGTAGAGCTTTGGGCGATACATGAGGCACTAAAACATGCATGGAGGTTGGACTTTCATAAGGTGATTGTAGGAACTGATAACACTTTGACATTTCACATGTTATCATCGTTGAATATAGCTGCTCGAGGAACTGTCCTTGTTCATCATATTGGAGCTCTCATTAAACAAGAGTGGGAGGTTCGAATTACGTTTATAAGAAGGGAGACGAATTTGGTGACTGATATGCTTGTAGGTTTGACTCGTGGACGTCTTGGAATCCACACCTAGTTCATTTGAATGTTCTATTTTTAGCAAAAAAAAAGTAATATATTATATTGAATATAATTTATTTAAAACATTTATATGATTATTATGATTATCAGAACGATTAATGACAAACGAATATGATTAAAAACAAACAAATAAATAAAATTTTACGTAAAAAAACTCAAAAATAAAAAATCACGCATAAAGGAGAAGAAAAGTTGAAGAATTACAAGATTTGTTACAACAGTTACAACTCTTATCATAAAATCTTATTCTCCGCTTTATATTTATAGGGATAGGAAACAAAAGTAAGGGTGTAAATAAACTAAGCTTGAATGAACAAGATTATGTTGGAGTTTGTTTGTTCATTTTTGAAGATGTTCATGGTTGGTTCGTGTTCCCTTAAATTTTTAGTATCATGTTCGTGTTCATTTTTTTTTATTTTTGAAGGTAATCATGTTCGTTTATTTATTGTTCACAAATATGTTCGTTTAATGTTCATGAGTTCATGAACGTGTTCATTTAGTATTCGTTTAACATTCGTTTAGTGTCTTTTTATATCTTTAATTTTTAGTTTTATCATTTCATTAGTGAGCCAAAGAAAAATGGTAAATTTACTCCACTAGTACTTAAACTCTTTAAAATTCACAGTTTAAATTTAAATTTTATCATGTGTTCAATTTAGTCACTACCTTCACCAATATTTAAAAGAGAAAATAACCTCAGTGACCAAAAATCTCATATAATATACGATTTTAACCAACTTTTTCCGAATTTGCCAAAATGACCAACAAAATCGCAATGCGATCGCTAATTCGCAACGCGATCTCCATTATCGCAAATCAGTTTCCAGATTCGCAACGCGATTATGACTATCGCAATGCGATTTTCCAATTTCACGTTGCGATTTTCCCAATTCGCAATGCGAATAAGTAAATCGCAACGCGAATTTGGAAAATCGCAATGCGATACTGACTATCGCAACGCGATAATACAAAATCGCAACGCGATACTGACTTTCGCAACGCGATACTAACTTTCGCAACGCGATACTGACTTTCGCAACGTGATTCTGACTTTCGCAACGCGATTCTGACTTTCGCAACGAGATTCTGACTATCGCAACGAGATAATACAGAATCGCAATGCGATTTTCAAAGTTCGCAACAGGTTTTAGTTTCGCAACACAAATTTTTTGGGTATATATCTACGCAGCAGCAACAACTCATAACCTAAATCCCTAAATCGCAACTCATTCCATCTCCATCTATCACTCTCTCCGGCGACATCCGTTCCTATATCCGTTCCTACATCCTTCCCCATCCGGCAACAGGTCTTAGTTTCGCAGCTCGTTTGCTTAGTAAATTAATTTACAACCATAAAATCATCTAATGTTGATCATGTTTGGATAGATTTGTGTTTTGGAGGGTCATGGGAGAATGTTCATGGTGTTTTACAATATATGCCTTTACCCATGAATCTTCAACTAAAACTGTCATTAAAAAAGTTAACTTATGAAACTCTAATGTTATGTGTTTCAAAGAAATTGAATTTAGAGCCCCTAAGTGGATTTAGGCTATCTTATCAGAGAAATGGTAAAGTTTATTTGTTAACCGATAATGAAGATGTTGAATGATTCATTGCTTACATTAGTGTTTCAAGTGATGATGTTACATTGTATGTTGTTGAACCTAGAAGTAGTATTGTTGGGTCAGTAGCGGGTAGTAATCAACTAAGTTTTTCTCAAAATCCACAACCTTTCTCTAATCTAAATCCCAATCAACTTTCAGCACCAAATTCCGGTTTTCGTATTGACCAATTAGACGATGATGAGCCAACAGAAAAAATTGTGAGTACTAGTCAGTATTCGAAATTTGATCTTGGTCAATACCTGGACTTTGATATTAGTCAATACTCGGATTTTGATGATGTTTCAGAAGAAGAAACAGACCCTGTGTGTAATGATTTTGATATTGGTCAATACCCGAATTTTGATGATGAAACAGCCGTTGCTGAGGAAGATGTTGTTGATGATAATGAGGAGGAAGTTACGACTGTGAATGAACATGTTGAACATCCATTCTGTAATTCATATAATCCTGAAGAAGAAAAAGAAGAAGAAAAAGTCCCCGAAGAAAAGAAAATGCCACGGGAGTATAACTGGAATATGCCAGAATTACTTCAGATACCGGAAGAAGAGTTGGTAAAGAAAACAGTTGATTGTTACACAAAAGTTATTCGTACCAAGAAAGATGATTGTTTTGATACAAAGGAATACTTGAAGATAGCTTTGTATACGAAATGTGTGGAAGATGGCTATAAACTAAAAGTTAACAAATCAAGCAAAGATCATTTCGAAACAAGGTGTATGATTGACAAAAACTGTACGTGGCGTATGATTGCAAAGAGGATAAAAGATTGCGAAATGTTTCAAGTTAGGAATTTTATTGATAAACATACATGTTCAAGAACCCAAGTTTTTCCTCACCATAGACAGACAAACAAAAAGGTGTTGGGTGGTTTTCTGGCTGAGTTAATGTTTTTGAATGGCAGGGTATATCAGGGACATGAAATTATGACTGACATGAATGCTCGGTTCAAGATTAGTATATCATATTCTCAAGCTTGGAGAGCCAAATGTTATGCCTTGGAATTGTTGAGGGGGTCGCCAGAAGCATCGTTTGCCCAACTGCCGGCTTATTGTCACAATTTAAAGCTGAAAAATCCTGGGTCGGTAACTCATATCAAAACAGATAGAGATGGACGCTTTGAGTTGCTGTTTATCGCCATTGGTGCTGCGGTTAGTAAATCAATATAATTCTGTTGACTCATTTTTGTTAGTTACATGCATTTCACATTTAAATGATTATATTTCTTGTGTGTATTATTTTGTAGATTCGTTCGTTTATTACTTGCATGCGCCCAGTTATTACAGTTGACGGAGCACATTTGAAAGGTCGATACCTTGGAGTAAACTTATTAGCAGTAGCCATGGATGCTAACAATGGGATATTGCCAATAGCTTACGGGGTTGGCAAATCTGAAACCTCTGATTCATAGACATGGTTTATGGGGCATCTTAGGGATTGCATAGGTCCTATTAGCAATCTGACAATCATATCCGATAGGGCAAACTCAATTGACAACGCTGTTAGAAGGTGTTTCCCAGATGCTTTTTATGGACTTTGTGGTGTTCATTTGTATAGAAATCTAAAATCAAGGTATGCTGGTATAAAAAAGCACAAATGGACATACTGGAAGACTGTAAAAGCTTATCGGGAAGTGGATTTCAATAAGCATATAAACTGTTTAAGACGTGTTTTGCCTCAGTGTTCTCAAACACTAGAAGATGTCGGGTTTGAAAGATGGTCAAGAGTACATCAACTTGGAGCAAGATATGGTTTCATGACGTCTAATAGTGCAGAATCAATCAACGCTCTAAGTCGTCATTCCCGAAAATTACCCATTACTATGTTAATGGAGTTTTTTCGAGCCTCTATTCAACAGTGGTACTACAAGAAAAGAAACCATGCAGGTATTATTTCTTTGAATTCGTAACTTATCATATATTTTACTAAGTATTATTTATTTAAATTTACAGGAACATTGGAACATCGTGTTACACCATGGACTGAAAAAAAGATAACGAAACGTGTTGTGAAGTCAACGTCATGGAGAGTTGAACCATGTTCAAACACTTTGTTTGAAGTACTGGATAATAACTTAAATGGGCTTGTCGATCTAAATGCAAGGACGTGTAGTTGTATGAAATGGCAAACATCTGGTTATCAGTGTGGCCATGTTATAAAAGTTGCTCTTCATCTAAACCAAGATGATTCAAGCACATACGCTATGGATTGCTACACTACAGAAGTATATCGACAGACTTATGCCGAGATTGTCTACCATATTCCACATCCTTCTGAGTGGGACATACCAGATGACTTACAAACAGTTTTGCCACCAGCCATGGACAGAAGGCTACATGGCCGACCAAAAAGTCACGATCGTATACCGTCTAAGGGTGAAGAGAAGAAGAGATCGACATGTAGTCGGTGCAAGGAAAGTGGTCATACAAGGTTGACATGTGGTTCACCAGTGCCATCATAATCATCTTTTCCTCTACCAAAATATGGATCCTCATCAAAATCCAAAGCTCATATGGTGTCAAGCAAAAGGCAATCAAAATCGCAATCATCTTCAAAATCCCAATCACAACCGGTTTCACCTTTTGGGACTGTTAACTTAGGTGATTTTTAAATGCAAACGTTGTATTATGTGTATTTTATGTGTGCACGTTTAACATTTTCAGTTAGGCATGTATTAGTAACTTGAGTTTGAACATTGCTATGATCTGTTCAGTTGTTATCACTTATTAGACATTCATTTGACTATCACAACGGGGAAATCGCAACGCGAAAATGACTATCGCAACGCGAAAATGGCTATCGCAACGCGAAAATGGCTATCGCAACGAGAAAATCGCAATGCGAAATGAAAATCGCATTGCGATTTTCTCGTTGCGATTTTCATTTCGCATTGCGATTCTCTCGTTGCGATAGTCAGTTTCGTGTTGCGATAGTCTGTTTTGCCTTCAACATAATGCAGATTGAAAATCAACAAATCAACTATTACATTTCAATCAATTAAACAAGCACAAATAAGAATTATGTACACATCAATTAAACAAATCAACATTTACAAATTATTTTTTACAAATCAATTAAACAATCTAAAAATAATAATAATTCTTATTTCTTCATCAATTATTGAATCAATGAATCAACTTTCGCACCCGTACATCCATTTCACGCAGCTCACTTAAGGATTAACCTGCAGAAACCAAACATTTGCTCAAACAAGACTTCCTACACATCTAAAACCTACAAATAGCAAATTATTGAATTCTAGGTACTTAACCAAACATTTTCAAACCAAAAAGAGTATATATGTTAACAAAACTTGCATTTGACTTACCAATTAACAATGGATACTTTCATAACGCGGATGCAAGTAGGCAG